ACCGTGTTGACCAGGATGGTCTCGATCTCTTGACCTCATGATCCACCCGCCTCGGCCTCCCAAAGTGCTGGGATTACAGGCTTGAGCCACCGCGCCCGGCCCACACTAAGGTATGATTTATCAAATAGGTTTGACTGTCCCAAGATGTTTTCACTTGCTAATGTATAAATCTCCTGAAGCCCCTTAAATGGTGACGGTCCTGGGGAAGAGATGATGTGACAGACGGAGGAGATGCCTAAAGGCCTTTGGACAACTCCTCAGGCACAGTTAGTCCCTCCTTTCAACTACACCTCAACACTCTTCATTCATTTCTACCTGGTTACTATAAAGGCCCAGTAACAGGTGTTCTTCCCAGTGTGACCCTTTCGGATTCTTCATTCAGCCACAAAGAGATGTTTCTAGAGTATTGATTGTATATATATCCTGATTAAAATCCTTCAATAGCTTCCCAAAGATCTCAAGATGAAAACGAAACCGTTAGCTTAGAAAGCAATACAACCTGAGCCCAGACACAGTGGCGCGTCCCTGTAATCCTAGCACTTTGGGAGGCCAGGCGGGTGGGTTTCTTGAGGCCAGGAGTTGGAGAGCAGTCTGGCCAATATGGCAAAACCCCGTCTCTACTAAAAATACAAAAATTAGCTGAGTGTGGTGGTGCCTGCCTATAGTCCCAGCTACTGGGGAGGCTGAGGCAGAATTACTTGAACCCAGGATGCAGAGACTGCAGTGAGCCAAGATCACACACCTGCACCCAGCCTGGGTGGAGGAACAAGACTCCATCTCAAAAAACAAAAACAGAAAACACGTGGGCCATGCTCTGCCTCTCTAGCATCCTCTCCTGGTTTGCAGCAAACAGACTCTGCTCCTGCTATTCCTGGAATGTGGTTTCCCAGACTGTACTCTGGTGCCTACCTGAGAACGTTTCCACCTTCTTTAACCGTGCTAGCCGTTCTGCAAGACTTTCAAGTCTACCTCCTTTGGGAGGCATTACGCTTCCCAACATCAAGTCAGGTTTTTTGTTTGTTTTTGAGACAGGGTGTCCTCTGTCACCTAGGCTATGTGCAGTGGTATAATATTGGCTCACTGTAGCCTCAACCTCCCAGGCTCAAGCAATTCTCCCCCCTCAACTTCCAGAGTACCTGGGACCACAGGCATATGCCACCACACCCAGCTAATTTTCTTTTTCTTTGGGAACTAGGATTTGGCCATGTTAGCCAGGCTGGTCTCAAACTCCTGAGATCAAGCGATCTGCCCGCCTCAGCCTCCCAAAGTGCTAGGATTACAGGTGTGAGCCACTGCACCCAGCTAAAAAATCAGTTTACAGATCTATATCATCACATGCACTTCCATTGCAGAAATAAAGGCAATGTCATTCCTCAATCCTAAGATTCCAGACATATACTAAAGTGCTTAAATTATGCAGTGCTAATAATGCAACCTCACAGGAACAAGTATTCAGTGGATCTATTTAATGTGGAAACTAAATAAAAACCCTAAATAGAGAGCCAGATAAACAGACTGATACAATGCCTCAATTAAAAGCCCAGATTTTTCTGTTTTTTTTTTTTTTTTTTTTTTTAGACAGAAATCTCGCTCTGTCACCAGGCTGGAGTGCAGTGGCACAATCTCTGCTCACTGCAATCTCCGCCTCCCAGGTTCAAGCGATTCTCCTGCCTCAGCCTCCCGAGAAGCTGGGATTAGAGGCACGAGCCATCAAGCCCAGCTAATTTTTTTGTATTTTTAGTAGAGACGGGGTTTCACCATGTTGGCCAGGATGGTCTCGATCTCCTGACCTCGTGATCTCCTGACCTCGTGATCTGCCTGTCTCGGCCTCCCAAAGTGTTGGGATTACAGGTGTGAGCCACCGCGCCCAGCCAGAAGCAGACTTTTTTTTTTTTTTTTAAAGGTGGGGTTTCACCATGTTGGCCAGGATGGTCTCGATCTCCTGACCTCGTGATCTCCTGACCTCGTGATCTGCCTGTCTCGGCCTCCCAAAGTGTTGGGATTACAGGTGTGAGCCACAGCGCCCGGCCAAGAAGCAGACTTTTAAAAGAGAAAGCAGGGTGTGGTGGCTCATGCCTATAATCTCAGCACTTTAAGGGGCTGAGGTGGGTGATCACTTGAGCACAGGATTTGAAGACCAGCCTGGGCAACACAGCAAGACCCCCATCTCTACCAAAAAAAAAAAAAAAGTTATCTGGGCATGGTGGTGTGCACCTGTAGGTGTGGTCCCAGCTCCCAGGAGACTGAGCAGGAGGATCCCTTGAGCCCTGGAGGTCAAGGCTGCAGTGAGCTATGATTGTGCCACTGCACTCCAGCCTGGGTGGCAGAGTTAGACTCTGTCTCAAAAATAAATAAAATTAAAAGTGGGGTGGCAGCACAAGACTGTGAAGTTTATGTATGACACTAAGAACTAAAGCAATTCTTCAAGAGCAGGGATTCTTTTTCATCTTTGTTTTTCCTATGAGGTCTTATTAATAATTATTAGTAACTATTTGTCCTCCAAGAAGGGCTTATAGGTTATTTTGTAGCAATTTTCCTACCTGGCAGGATACCTGAATTAAAATCCCTCATCTCTAGAAAAAAAATGTATAAATTAATATTGAATAACTGCAGACTAGAAAAAAAAAGCAAATAAAACCCATGATCTGCTTTTATCATTTATATAATTATGAATGAGGAGCTGGTTCAATAACACTGACACAGTGTAGCTAATATTTCACATGACTAAAGATAAAGTCCTGAACCAGATGATATTCTGAGGTTCCATCCCAAAATTAAGCTTTCTCATCCCATAAATTACATCCACGAGTAAAAATTCTCCATAAAAGATTAATGAAGAAACAGTAATCCAGACAACTTATCAGAAAGTGAGTTTCTGGAAATATTTTTTAAAAAAATATATATAACAGGTTTACGATTACTTTATCTTCATTTTCCTTTCTGGTAATTCAACATAATCTTTTGAAAACTCCAATTTCATTCTCAAAAAAATCTGAAAAACATTGTAAGTAAATTTAACTTTAAAAAATTTTTCAAAATCCCACATTCAGAAACACTGTAACAATTGTTCATTGTAGAATGCTGGTAACTGAATTAGATATTGAGTATCTTACTGAAATCAACTCTTTACATTCCAAAGTTTAAAGCATTTAAATATGGGTTGGAAATGTATGCCTACTGAACAATATTTGTACATCTATAAATAACATTATTCTTTTTTTTAATTGCATTGTAGGTTTGGGGGTACATGTGAAGAACATGCAAGACTGTTGCATAGGTACACAAATGGCAGTGTCATTTGCTGCCTTCCTCCCCATCACCTATAACATTATTGCTTTTCTAAGCTATATTCTTTTTACTTCCTGAATTTAACCCTAGTTTCAAATTTTTTAAAAAAATTCTGCTTGTAAGATAAAACCTGACGACTGTTTTCTCACTGAATAATAAAACACAAGAAATGATAACACTGTAAGAGTTGAGATCGTGTTTTTAATTCACTGTTACACACTGCCATCTAGCAGGAAGTGAGCGAAAGAGATATTAGTGGAACAGACCTGAAAGACCACCTGAGGCTACCCAATCGCTTCTGGCTTCTCCTTATGCAGAATAAAGTTTTTTGTTGTTTTGCTTTTTTTCCGAGAGGGAGTCATGCTCTGTCGCCCACGCTGGAGTGCAGTGACACAATCTCGGCTCACTGCAACCTCCGCCTGCCAGGTTCAAGCAATTCTCCAGCCTCCTGAGTAGCTGGGATTACAGGCGTGCACTACCACGCCAGGGTAATTTTTGTATTTTTAGTAGAGACAGGGTTTCACCATGTTGGTCAGGCTGATCTGGAACTCTTGACCTCGTGATCTGTCAGCCTCAGCCTCCCAAAGTGCTAGGATTACAGGCGTGAGCCACTGGGCCCAGCCCGAAGAAAGTTTTAAAGCGGAGACTACAGTGCTGCTAGATTGGAGGCTGTGAAACTTTCACATTCAAATACGTGAGCTGCTTATTCAATGCCTGAAGGCCTCCATTTGAGACTACCGTAGACCAGGGAGAAACAATACCCTAGTTGTAATGTGCGTTCACTAACAAGCCCAAGATTGGTCGTGAGCTTCCTAGGTGTCTTATTGGAAGGAAGGAAGGATGTACGAAGGGAATAAGGTCCTGAAAGCCAACTTGCCTGATTCAAAATTGTGCCCAGCCAGAGCTGCATGCATTCCACAAACGAAATTAACAATCCAAGTCATGTCATGCATAAAACTCTGTAACCAACTATTATTGCAGGGAGCAGGGGGGAGGCTGCTGGGGCCGTGGTGTTAAGTCATTTTGTGTGACATTTGCTTTAAAGAATCATGAAAAAATCCCCAGAAAATGTTTTAAAATCACAGCAAGATTATTTCTGTAGTTTACACAAAATTAGCTCTGTTCTGAGGGTACTAATCGGGTGCAAAATACCTAACACATGGCTTGCAAATGGGATAACCCAGGCCTGCGGTGGCGGCTGCCTTCCCGGGGCATTTTCTCCACTAAATACACCGTGCCCTCTTTAACTGGAAAAGTCACAGATGCCTCAACTTCAGCACAACATTCCTGCAACAAGTGATTCTGGGAAGACCGAGGGAAGAACGAGGCAGTTCGCGCCCCGCCAAGGCGGATTAGGTTCTGGAATAGACGGCCGCGGGCCGGGGGAGGAGGCCAATCGCAGGAGGCGGCGGCGCCGGGAGCCCACGCTCCTCCCCCGGGCTCCAGCGGAGGCTCGGGCCCGGCACCCGCCTCCCGCCGGGTGGATCAGGCTTCAGCCTCCGGCAGTGGCTCTGCCTATGCGCCGCTAAGTCCCCAACACAGACTTGGAGTCTCTTACACGCACCCCATACTCGGCACAGAGGGGCGGTTTCCCGGAGGCAGGGTCCCAGCTTTCGTGGGACCAGAAGAGCATCTTTCCGAGCCTCAGGATCAAGCCCACGCCCCCACCAAGCTACCGCCGAGGCCAGAGGGGACGCGGCGCTCGCACTCACCTGGCGGGGAGCAGCTTGAGCCCCGCGGACCGCAGCGCCGCTTCCTCTCTCCCTGGGAGCCCCTGCCTGGGCGCCGGGAAGACCCGGAGAGCGGATCGGGAGCGGCGGAGGAGGTTGCGCCGGCGAGCTCGGGGAGCGTTCGGGCGGAGCCAGCAGGGATCCGGGTTTTCACCCGTGCCCTGTTTACAAACACGTGGGGCCCGGGTTGTGAGAACACTGGACCGCCCCTGGCTAGTGATCCTGGCTCGCAGTCCGCCTGAGGCCACGGCCCTGGGAAAACTTCTCGGGAAAGCTGCGGGGGCCGTCTTCTTCAAGACACTGGAAACTTTCTGCTTCTCCAACTGGACTAGGAATGGAGCGCATTCAAAGTCACCTATTTACGCCAGGTTCGGCGGCTCACACCTGTAATCCCAGCACTTTAGGAGGTCGAGGTGGGCGGATCGCTTTAGCCCAGGAGTTCGAGACCAGCCTGAGCAACACAACGAGAACCTGTCTCTGCAAAAAAATACAAAAATTTGCCAAGTGTAGTGGCCCGTGCCTGTACTCCCAGCTACTGGGAGGCTGAGGTGAGAGGATCTCTTGAGCCGAGGACGTAAAAGCTGTAATAAGCCGAGATCATGCCACTGCACTCCAGCCTGGGCAACAGAGCACTCTCTAAAAATAAATATATTTTTTTTTTTTTTAAAGAAGGTCAAAGTTACCTATTCAAGAAAATCAAGAGCTTTGCAAGTTTCTTTCTCTAAGGCTGGGCACCGTTTCTGGCAATGTTTGGTAGACTAAACAGGATGATCATTTAATTTGATTGTACTGGTTGCTATGGTGTGAATGTTTGTGTCCTGCCCCAAATTCATATGTGAATTTTGTGCCTTTATACTCTTTATAAATTTACACATTTATTGTGTCTTTATGAAAGAGACCGGAGAGAGCTTCTGCCATGTGAGGACACATAGAGGGTCCCTTGTATGAGGCACAGATCCTAACCAATGAGGTATCTGCCAGTGCATTGATCTTGGACTTCTCAGCCTCTAGATTGTAAGCAATGGAGTTCTGATGTTTATACATGACCCAAACTAAGGTGTGTTGTGATAGTAGCCCAAACAGACTAAACACTGGTAAAGGAAAGCTAATTGACTTCAAGCTACTGACCTCCAAATCCGGAAACCCAAATAAAATTATTTTGCCCTAGTCTAGGAGGTAATAAACCTAAGGAGGAAATTCAACACTTTGCTGTAGGGCTGGGTCTAGGGAGAGGCAAGTGAAGCACTTAGGGCTCAAAATCTGAGGAGGCGCTGACTCTGGGCGTCCTGCGGTGCTGGGTGCACTTGCAGGAGCCTGAGAGTGATTTGCTGTTTCAGGCCTGCCTCCCCTGGTCCTAGCCTTGTGCCAAGCAACTCAATTTCTCTACAAAAACAGGTTGATAATCATGGTATCCACATCTAGAAAACATCAAACAGCCAGGCACGGTGGCTCATGCCTGTAATCCCAGCACTTAGGGAGGCTGAGGCGGGTGGATCACCTGAGGTCAGGAGTTCGAGACCAGCCTGGCCAACATGGTGAAATCCCATCTCTACTAAAAATACAAAAAATTAGCCGGGCGTGGTGGTGTGTGTAATCTCAGCTACTCAGGAGGCTGAGGCAGGAGAATCCCTTGAACCTGGAAGGCAGAGGTTGCAATCAGCGGAGATCGTGCCATTGCACTCCAGCCTGGGCAACAGGGTGGGACTCCGTCTCTCAAAAAAAGAAAAAAAAAAATCAAACACACAGAAAAGATTGATAAATTAGATATCATTAAAAGTAAAAACTCTGTTCATCGAAAGATACCTTTAAGAAAATAAGAGATGGGCACAGTGGCTCACACCTGTAAGTAATCTCAGCACTTTGGCAGGCTGAGGCGGGAGGATCACTTGAGCTCAGGAGTTGGAGACCAGCCTAACAACATACGAAGACCCCCATCTCTACAAAAAATTTTTTTAAATTAGTTGTGATCGTGCATGCCTGTGGTCCCAGCTCCTCAGGACTGAGGTGGGAGGATTGCTTGAGCCTGGGAGGTCAAGGCTTCTGTGAGTCAGGATTGTGCCACTGCACTCCAGCCTGGACCACAGGGTTAGATCCTTTCTTGAGAAAGAAAAATAATGAAAATGATCTACAGAGTGAGAGAATGTATTTTTTATACATTTTATCTACCAACGAATTTAGAATGTAGCAGGAACTCCTAAAAGCAATAAGAGGGAAAAGCAATCAGTAAGTCAATAAGTACAGCACTTCACCAAAGAGGAATCCAAATAGCCAGGCAGTATGTGAAAAGATGCTTAAAGTTTTTAGTCATTAAGGAAATGCAAATGAACATGACAATGATATATACTACACACCCACTAAAATGGCTACAGGTTTTAAAACTGACAATATGGTGGGGCGTGGTGGCTCACACCTGTAATACCCACACTTTGGGAGGCCGAGGCAGGTGGATCACAAGGTCAGGAGTTCGAGACCAGCCTGGCCAACATGGTAAAACCCTGTCTTTACTAAAAATACAAAAATTAGCCAGGCATAGTGGAACTCACCTGTAGTCCCAACTGCTCAGGAAGCTGAGGCAGAAGAATCACTTGAACCCAGGAGGCAGAGGTTGCAATGAGCTGAGATCGCACCACTGCACTCCAGTCTGGGCAACAGAATGAGACTGTCTCAAANAAAAAAAAAAAAAAAAAAAAAAAAAAAAAAAAAGAAAGAAAAAGAAAGAAAAAGAAAAGAAAAGAAAAGTTCAAGGCCTAAGAGATAATAAACCAATAACAATATAACACTAGTGAGAAATACATAGTGCACTATGGTAACAGAAGAGAATGTATAAAGAATGTTGAAATAGCATTAAGTTTTCTTTCATTCTTCTTTTGAACTGGAAATTACTTTTTTTTTGGCGGGGGGAGGACAGGGTCTTACTCTGTCCCGCAGACTGGAGTGCAGTGGCAGGATCTCGGCTCACTCCAAGCTCTGCCTCACTAAATGATACATAATATCATGATAAGTGCTTTAAACTTTATATCAAATATCTCATGAGTTTCAGTTGCAGACAAATCCAGGGTATCCCTGGGTGACCCCAGTGAATCTCACCCCCTGGTGTTCATGTCTTCTATCTTCTCCCCTCCAGTGACGGTGGCACCTGTGACTTGATCTAACCAATAGCATAAGGCAAGGTCTATGGAAAGTTACTGCCATGATTACATTGTTTAAGATTTTCTTTTAGCAGACTGGAATTTAACTCATTGCTGGTTTGATGAAGTAAGGAGCTATGTTTAGAAATCCTGTGTGACAAGAAGCCACAGGCAGCCTCTAGGACCTGTGGGTGGCCTCTAGGATACAAGCCATCCTTACTGAGACTGTGTCATTCTTATTATTAAAATGATCTTGTTACTAGAAAGGGGTCCCCATCCAGACCCAAGAGAGGGTTCTTGGATCTTAAGCAAGAAAGAAGTTGAGGTGTGTACATAAGTTTCATTAAGTGAAAGCAAGATTATTAAAGGAATGAAAGAATGTCTACTCCATAGGCAGAGCAGCACTGAGGGCTGCTGGTTGTCTATTTTTACAGTTATTTGTTCATTTAGGTTTTTGAGATGAGTCTTGCTCTGTCATCCAGGCCTTAGTGCAATAGCTCAATCTCAGCTCACTGCAACCTCCACCTCCCGGGTTCAAGCGATTCTCCTGCCTCAGCCTCCCAAGTAGCTGGGATTACAGGCGCTCCCCACCACATCTAGCTAATTTTAGTATTTTTAGTAGAGATGGGATTTCACTATGTTGGCTAGGCTGGTCTGGAACTCCTGGCCTCAAGTGATCAGCTCGCCTAGGCCTCCTAAAGTGCTGAGATTACAGGCGTGAGCGACCGCGCTCCGCCCAGCCGATAGTCTTTCTTTTGTAAAATGATACGAACTAGTAACGATTTTCTTTTTCCCCTAGCGGAAGAGTTGTTAGGCTTCCAGATTTGTTTCTGTAGTTACTAGACCTCCACTTTTCTTATTTTCCTCCTCTGTCAGCCTTGTTTGTTGTCTCAAACAGGCAATGAGAAGACACAGGTCTTTATTTTTACTGGAATGCTCTTTCCATCTGGTCAGTAGTTTTTCAAACCAGACGGAATTCAAGTTCTGATCTGTGAGTTTCCAAAGTCAGGACTCGGTGCGGCACCCAACATGGGTGTGTGCAGCGAGCGAGGGCAGAGTCTGCCGGGCAGGGCCGGGACCCAGCCCCGCCGCGCCGCGCCGCCCGCACCTTTCCCCAGCCTTCTCCCGGCAGAGGGGAGGCCTGGCAGGGAGGGGTCCCGTCCTCATGAAGGGTCACAAACCGGGCTCTGGGGAAGCACGCCCAGCCCCCGCGGCCCCCGCGCTACAGAATTCGGCCGCCTGCGCGCGTCCTGCCTTCTGCGGATCGAACGAGGCACCCAACCGGGTTTACAGTTCCAGGAAGCGCCCGGGAACCAGCCCCAGCAACGCCGGCTCGAGAAGACACCAGAGTGCTGGGGCCGCGGAAGCGCGCGGGGCGGCGGCGAGACCGCCAGGGGACGCTGCGCACCTCCAAGAATGTCAGCGTTTCTCGCGATAGGTGAGGCTCGGCGTTCCGGAAGTGGTTTCCCGGAAGAAGCATGTCTGCGCCCACGATCCGGCCGGACGCTGCACGCTGAACCGCGGACACCATGCAGTCGGATGATGTGAGACTCCTCCCGTTGTTCTGACACCCGGGGTTTGCGCAGGGAATTTTGCCCACTTTAGGACACTTAGAAAACGCGTACTCAACTGGCCTGCTGCCTCGTGCCGCTCTGGATGCTAGGCTTCTGGAACCCTGATTTTCCAACGTGGGTTCTCACGCGTGTCTAGCAGGGGTCTCCTGCCCGCTGTCCCAGCCGGGTTGTGAGCATAGGACGCGGTCACCTCAGTCCGTGGAGTCGATGTGTCCGGTCTTTCGTGCCTAGCATAGCATTGTGCCATGTTGTCAGCTGTCAGCTTCGGACGTGGGGTGGGGGGCGGGGGGCGGCAGGGGATTTGGCGAAGTTGACTCCAAGTTTAAGCGTCCTTCTCATCCATGTGAGCGTTACTCTTCCATCTGCGTTTCCTGTGTTAGGCTTTTCTTTACATTTGCTAAAGTCATAATTTCGGAAGCATCCGAGATTCATTCATTTTTTTGTTAGAGAAATTTAAGTGCCTATAATGTGCCAGGCATTGTGTTAATTACTGAGGATTTGGTTAACAAACCAGAAAAAACACCCCAACTCTCCTGGAACACTGGTTGGGGGAGACACAGTAAACAAGTGAACAAATAAATTAACAATTACACTGTAAGGCCGGGCGCGGTGGCTCAAGCCTGTAATCCCAGCACTTTGGGAGGCCGAGGCGGGTGGATCACAAGGTCAAGAGATCGAGACCATCCTGGTCAACATGGTGAAACC